CGCTGTAGCTCAAGTGGTAGAGCGCTCGCCTTGAGCTGAAGAGCTGAGGGACAGCGCCCAGGCCCAGAGTTCAAGCCCCACGACTGACAAAAAAAAAAATCTGCAAGTGTAGTGGTAGTATCAACCTTGAGTAAGAAAATCTCAGGGACAGCACTCAGGTCGTGTTCAAACCCAGTACACACACACACACACACACACAGGAATTAAAATCTGTTACTGACACCACTGAAAATCCTTTTGCTGTGGTTAGGAAAGAGCGCTGCAGGAGACATGTCAGCCTGCTCTTTGTGGCCTTAGTTGTCTGGGGTCCCTGACAGCCTAAGAGACAGATGTCCCCACTGTCCCCCTCGACTCTTCCTTCCCCCAAGCCAGGTGCCAGCCTGCGGACTCATGTATCCCCTCTGGGCCTCTGGGTCTGGGTTCGACCGCCTGGCAGTTTCGTGTTGGGGTGCACGGGGAGGAGTCTTTAGAGAGGGTTCCGGATGCCTGCCGAGTCCTGACGCAGCCAGGGGCCCCGGGGCGGTGCCACAGCCTCCTCCAGTAGGTCCGGAAATACCAGCTGGGCCGGGCACCCCGGCGCCACCGCGCGCAGCCCCAGCCGCACCCAGACCACACACAGGGACGGAAGCCGGGCAGCGGCGACCCCTGGTGGCCGTGTGCGGGGTCCTTAAGCCAGGTGACCCGGATGGGCCCGGGCGGGCCGGACGTCAAGGACAGCTGGGGTGAGCGTTACTGTGGGGTTTGTTCACACAGTATTTTTTTGTCTGTCCTGGGGCTTGAACTCGGCCTGGGCGCTGTCCCTCAGCTCTTCAGCTCAATCGCTTGAGCCACAGCGCCACTTCCGGTTTTCTGGTGGTTTACTGGAGATGAGTCTCACGGTCTCTCCTGCCCGGGCTGGCTTTGAACCGCGATCCTCAGAGCTGAGCCTCCTGAGTAGCTAGGGTGACCCGGCTTCAGACACGGGGCGGGGATTGCGGGGCAGCCGTGCGTCTCCCTCTACGTTGTCTGTGCAGACACAGCGAGGGAGGAGGCCAGCGGCAGCTGCACAGTAAAAAAACCAAAACCCCAAACTGGGGCGCAGCCGGCCCGCGCCTCGGCGACTCCACGCGTCGCTCGGAGGCCGAGACCCGCGTGGGAAGGCAGCCCACCGCGCCCAGCAGCCCGCGCCCTGGCTTAAACACTCGAGTCTCTGTCCTGTGACGGACATCAGCCACAGAGGGACCGGCAAAGGAAGAGCTCCCGCGTGTCCGTGTCCTCCCGCGTATCCGTGTCCTCCCGCGTGTCCGTGTCCTCCGCGCCCGGGGGCGGGGGGGGGCACCTGGGCTCATCCTCCGGGAAGCAGCTGGGCAGGGCAGGGACCTTGTGGGTTCCAAAGCACCTGCTGGGCCATCCGCAGCCAGGAGAGGCTGCCCCCCTCTCCCCGTCCCCCCCTGCGCTGACGGCAGGGGGGGGGGGGGCTGCCTGAGCCGCACCCAGCCCCGGTGTTGGTGTCAGAGCCAAGGCCAGGCCGGAGCGTGGGCCGATCATTCTCCACCGAGCCCCCAAGCCCCGCCTGGCCCTAGGGGCAGAACCCAGGAGCGCGTGCGTGCGTGCGTGTGTGCGTGCGTGTGTGCGTGCATGCGTGTCTGGCCCTAGGGGCAGAACCCAGGAGCGCGTGCGTGCGTGCGTACGTACGATTTAAAACCCCGCCATGGGCTGGAAAGGTGGCTCGCTTGCCTCGCATGCATGAAGCCCTGGGTTGGACTCCTCAGCACTACACAGAAAAAGCCAGAAGTGGCGCTGTGGCTCAACTGGTAGAGCGCTAGCCTTGAGCAGAGAGACTGGTGGACAGTGCCCAGGCCCAGAGTTCAAGCCCCAGGACCGGCAAAAAAGAAAGCAAGCCAAGCATGCGGGGTGGGGTTGACGGGGGATGGAACGGCCCCAGGCTCCACGCGGAGCTGCTGCGCGCAGTGTGTGGGGTGCGGAACACAGAGCAGAGCCCCCGTTCTCCCCAAAGAAGCAAAACCAACCGTGCCCCCACCCCCGGCACGGAGGGGTGCCAGCATCCCCGCGGGGCGGGGCTCAGGGCGGCCCCTGCACGCACACACACACACACACACACCCCGCCCCAGTCCCGTGGGCTCCAGCGCCCCTCCCTGGTCAGCCAAGGCAGAGGCGACAGTGGGCGTGGGGCGCATGGTGTTTATTATGGACACGGGATCGCGCGGAGGCCGCCACGCAGCGGGGCCCAGCCTAGGGCCCCAAGATGGTGGCAGCTCCCGCAAGCTGTGCCTCACAAGGACTCCCGGCAACAGTGCTCCGGCTGCATGCCGCCCCTTGGAGACGCAGGCTGGGTACCGGAGGGGACCTCTAGGGGTCCAGGGGTACCCGCAGCCCCCGCAGTGTGGGGCCTGGTCCCAGAACTCCCCTGCGCCCCATCTGTCTGTGCCCAATGCAGTGAACCCCTCCCCAGTGCCCCCCGAGGGTCTGAGGCCCCAGACACAGATGTCCTTGCGGGGCTCCGGCCTGGGGGCCCGGACAGCCGGCCGGGAAGCCGGGGGTGGGGGGGGACAGCAAATGATGACACATGAGGTATTTCTGCTTCAGCAGCCTGTTTCCCGGGGCTCAGCGGCGCCCTGCGGGAGCTGTGGGGGTGGCGGGGGCACACGGGGGGGGGGAGCCTCGCTGCAGGACCGATGGCCTCCTGGTGACGCCAGGTGTGGGGTGCGTCCTGGGCGACGCGGGGGACCCTCCCGTCCACAGCTTCCTCGCCGCGCGGTGCTGCAGGGCTCGGGGGGCCGGAACCGGGCTGAGCTAGGGAGGAGACGGGAGTGAGCCGGGCCCGGGCGGCGGCGGAGGCCGACCTGGCGCTGGGGGACCCGGAGGACCCCACGGGTGGACACGATGCTGCGGGCGGGGCGTTTCCTATCGCAGCCCCCCCAGCCTCTGCCCTCACCCCACGCCTGCGGGGGGCCCGGCGGCGGGGGACATCCAGGGACCCCCTGGCTGGGGAGGAGGGGTCCGGCACACCACTCACAGCCTGGCCCGCCAAGTCACACAGCCCGGGTCTCGGCCTCGATCTTCTGCTCCCCGTGCAGGCTGCCGGGGTCCGGGGGTGGGGCCACGCTCTGGCGGATGGCCGTCTCGGGGCCGCCCCCGTACAGGCTGCTCAGGTAGACCCACGTCTCCTCGGAGATCTGCCCGTAGTCGGCCCCTGTGGGGGACGGAGGGGCAGCAGCTGGTGCTTGTGGCCCATGAAGCCGCCACGCCGGGCACGCCACGCCCTCGGGGGCGGGAGCCAACCGAGAACGCGTGCAAAGCCACGGGGGAGACAAGGCGGGGGCCCCCAAGAAACCACCCACCGGGGACTCCAGGTGGCACATGCCGCCGGCGCCCCTGCTGCCCCCTGGCCTGGACCTGGGCGTGCCATCTTAGCCTGAGCCCCGGACAGGTGATGGGAGGCTCGTGGGAGGAGCAGGAGCGAGCAGGGGCCGGGCCGGACTCACCCTGGCGCAGCTGCAGGTGGCCGCCGCCTCTCACCTGCACGATCCTGCTGTTGTCAATGGGCCCGGGCGGCTCTGCGGCAGATGCAGGGGTCACCAGGGTCAGTCTGGGTCTGTGTCCTGCGCGGCCATCCCGAGCCCCAGAGGCTCCTCTCCCGAGCCCCAGCCAGGGGTTCCCAGCCCCCTTGGGCCTAGCGCAGGGCGCTTCTAGGGCACAGGCTCTGCTCGGGTGCCAGCAGCCTGGCAGCAGGAAGGATCCGGGGCAGTGGCAGCCTGTCCCGCTGCCTCACCACCCCCCGCTGCTGTGGGCGGGGCGGTGAACCACCGGGGCACGGCTGGCACAGGCCAGGCCATGCTGCCGGCAACCACCGCCACCCCGGCGGTCATCAGGGCCGTGAGGAGCCATTCCCCCCAGTTCTGGAGTGTTCACATTCAGGCCAAGGCCCAAAGCATGGCTCCAACTCAGTCTTGGAGCCAGTGTAGACTGGAGGGGGGCCATTTCTGGCTCTGGTGATCAGAGGGAACTCTAAAGGGTCAAAAACCATAGTAGATGCTCTAGAATGGTCTATGAAGGAGAGCAGTGGAATGCCAAGGCAGGGCCTAGGTCCAGCAACCCTGGCGCCAGGCACAGGCCTCGAGCTGGCACTGCCTGTGTGGGAGGGAGGCCCGCGGCCCCTGGGGACGGAGCGCCACACACACTCACTCACCGTTGTCCTTGCCCTTGACAAAGGCCTCCCATTCCCGGAACCACTGCATGCTGATGCAGTAAATCACGCTGGGGGACTCCTCAGCCTGGAACGCCTTGTTCAGCTGCAGGGAGAAGGCAGAGGGGTGGGTCAGCCTGCTCCCAGCCGACAGGACAAGTTCAGTGAAGCCCCCCAGTGGAGACGGCCAGCAGTGCTAGTGAACCTTCCTGAGACCATGTGAGGATCTGGAGCCCCGCCCACTCAGAAAGCCCCACCTCTACCTGAGCCCCGCCCACCCAGGAGCCCGGCCTACCCAGGAGCCCCGCCTACTTAGGAGCCCCACCCTCTCAGAAAGCTCCACCTCTACCTGAGCCCCGCCTACCCAGGAGCCCCGCCTACTTAGGAGCCCCACCCTCTCAGAAAGCTCCACCTCTACCTGAGCCCCGCCTACCCAGGAGCCCCGCCTACCCAGGAGCCCCACCCTCTCAGAAAGCTCCACCTCTACCTGAGCCCCGCCTACCCAGGAGCACCGCCCACTCAGAAAGCTTGACTTCTACCTGAGCCCTGCCTGCCCAGGAGCCCTGCCCAGGAGCCCGACAGACCCTGGTCACTTTCAGCAGCCACAAAGCAGAAGCCCTAAGTCCCACCCCTAGCAGCACTAAAGGAAGAGAAGCCGCCAGGCCCTGAGGCAGCTGCCCAGACAGAAGCCCCTCCTGTCAGGGGACCCAGGCTGGTCCAGCTGTGCTGTCTGCTCATCTTGGGCAGCATTCTGAGTGTGGAACCCGGTGACTCCCAAGGAGGAGCTGTTCCCAGGGACCTGCGACAATGTCTGTGGGTGACATTGGCTGTCCCCAGCATCCTGGAGGTAAAGGCTGGCCCTGCTGGCCATTGTGGGAGTCACAGGCCAGGCCGGGGGAGGACCACTCAGCCCACGCTGCAGAACCCAGGCGTCGGGCAGCAGGAGCCTCCACTCGCCGACCTTCTCCTGGCCCCGAGCCCTTCGCCCAGCTCCCCCCTGTGGGCACCCTGCCCCTCACCTTGATGAAGGTGTCGATCTCCACCCTTCTGCGCTTGGCCAGCGCTTCAATCTCCACCTGGCAGACTGAGCACACGTACAGGTGGTTCACAGCAGGGCCGCCCCCAAACCTGCACAGGACCCAGGAGAGAGGCACACGGGCCTGAGGGGCAGCAGGGGAAGCGGCCATCTTCCCCACTTTGCCAGGGGCACCATGAGGCTTGGCACAGCCCAGCAGAGCACTGCTCCCTAGTGACCTGCTGCTTCTCCTGACCACGAGGGCAGGAACTGTGTGGCTGGGGACTGCCCTCCCTGGCGCCTGAGCACGTCAAGGGGGGGCTGGAAGCAGGAGGCATCCCGGCCCGCTGGCCTGCTGGCAGAGGGGTCGGGCCTGGCCCGGCCTAGACTGGATCTGATCACACTCAGGGGAGGGAGGCTGTGGGCCCCTTTTCCCTCCAACCAGTCTGAGCCCCCCAGGGCTGCATGGGGCCCTAGGCTGGGCTGCCGGGCGGCAATGGGATGAGGCGGAGCGGAGGAGGAGGAGGAGGAGGAGCCGGGGAGAGCCCGGGGTGAGCCGCTTGCTCGTGGTCCTCATGACCGTGCAGGGCCTCCGCCCAGCGGGGGGGGGCTCACCTGTTGTACAGGTGCTCCCACACGTTCTGGGGCAGGATGACCACCAGGTCGTCGATGTAGTGGTATTTGTTGGGTGGGATGCCTGCGGAGGGAGTCACGGCGAGTGCTGGGCCGGGCCTCGGCCCCCCCCCCCCGCCAGGCCCGGGGGGCACCTCACCTCCGTGGGAGCACAGGAAGGTGTGGTTGGTGATAGGCCCCGGCTCAGCGAACGTGTTGAACTTGTTCAGCCATTCTCGGGACACGTAGAACCGGAGCAGGCTGGGCTCCCGCATGGCCGCCAGGGACACCACCTGCTGCCGCTCGCGCACCGCCTCCTCGCTGCTCTTCCTGGGCAGGTGAGGGCCGGGATGAGCAGCGGGCCGAGCTGCGCCCCGGGGCCCCTCTCACCGTCACAGCGTCCCTCCCATGCCCGCACAGGCCTGGTGGGACCCAGGCCCGCAGGGGCGCGCGTGCCAGTGTGAGCGGCCGGCTTGTGCACCTGCAGCGCGGACTCAGTGTGAGGCCAGGCCCACCTGTAGAACAGCACATAGGCCTCGGCGTTCTGCACCACCGTCTCATGGACCTCAGTGACGTACTGGTCATCAAACTCATACCACTGCCCGTTGATGACGTTCTGGCAGTAGGCGATGTAGTGCCCGCCTGGGTGGGGAGGAGGCAGTCAGGGGGATGTGGGAAGACGGGGCAGCCGGAGGCCGGCGGGCGCGAGCACTCACTGCCTGCCGTGCCGTGGTGGCAGATGACCGAGAGCAGGTCATAGGTGGTGATCTGGGACATGCACTCCTTGGCCAGGAAGGGACGCAGGTCGAGGCCCTCGAGCGGGAAGGACACATGGCTGCTGATCTTGAAGGAGTACATCACCTCGTGCCGGAAGCGCTTCAGGTGGATGCACAGGATCTGGGGAGAGCAGGCCCGTCACCCAGGGCACCCCAACACAGTGACAGGAGGGCGCTGCCAGGCCGGCGCTGGCCTCTGCCTGCGGCGATGGCTCTCCTGCCCACAGGCCTGGCCAGGAGGTTCGAGGTCCCCATGAGAAGTTGCCCATCACTGGCTCCCAGTTATCTGTCCCGGAGCTCTGATGAGCAGTTCTGTGGGCACTAACTCCAGAAGCTTCTCCTCAAAGGGATCTAAACACAGGTCATCCCCTCCCCAGCCACCTGGGATCCCCTGTCCTCTTCCTTCTGACTGACAGGCTTCGCCCCCTCTGGCTCTCACTCCGGCCGAGGCTGGCAGCAGCCCACCTCCCACACACCACCCTCTGCTCAGCCACAACGGCACGGCTGCCTTCCTCAATGACAGCCCAGCGCTCCACAGCTGGTTACCCGAGCCTGCAGGGTGAGGGTGAGGGCAAGCACAAGCTGAGAACTGCCCTCGCTGAGAACTGCCCTCGGCTCGCCCTGCCCAGGGGCATCTAGACAAAGCAGTGCCATCGTTGCAGCCCCGAGTGTGGGAGCTGCTGGGCAAGGCAAGCCCCCTCCCCCTGCCCACGCCCCCCCCCCCCCCCCCCCCCCCCCCCCCCCCCCCCCAGTCCCAGCAGGCACTCACCTCGGGCAGCCGCAGGACCTTGCAGTACTTCACACCGTTCCGCAGCCTGGGGAGGAGGAGAGCAGCAGTGACCATGGCGGAGCTCAGCAGCGCCCCCACCACTCAGTTTTCTAGAGAATGCCAGGGCAAATGTGGAAACAGGAGGGTGCTGGGCATCTAAAGCAAGGGACAAACCCCAAACACACACTTACTTCTTACACCGCTCGCAACTGTACATGTTGTCACCTAGAAAGGAAAAAAAAAGACAATGATTTATACCTAAGAAAAAACTTAAGGCTGGGCACTGGTGGCTCATACCTGTAATCCTAGTAACTAAGGGAGGCTGAGATCTGAGGATCATGGCTCAAAGCCAGCCCAGGCAGGAAAGTCTGGGAGACTTTTTTTTTTTGGTCGGTTGTGGGGCTTGAACTCTAGATTTGGTAGCTGTCCCTCAGCTCTTCAGCTCAAGGCGAGTGCTCTACCATTTGATCCACAGCGCCATTTCCGGTTTTCTAGTGGTTTATTGAAGATAAGAGTCTCATGGACTTTCCTGCCTGGGCTGGCTTTGAACCATGATCCTCAAATCTCAGCCTCTTTTTTTTTTTTGGGGTCCGGTCATGAGGCCTGAACTCTGGGCCTAGGTGCTGTCCCTCAGCTCTTCAGCTCAAGGCTAGTGCTCTACCACTTGAGCCACAGCTCCACTTCCGGCTTTTTTCTTATGTGGTGCTGAGGAATCGAATCCAGGGCCTTGAGCATACAAGGCAAGTGCTCTACCACTGAGCCACCTTCCCAGCCCCTCAGATCTCAGCCTCTTGAGTAGCTAGGATTACAGGCATGAGCCACTGGCACCCAGCTAGTCTGGGAGACTCTTATTTTCAGTTAACCACCAGACAACTGAAGTGGTGCTGTGGCTCAAGTGGTAGAGCACTGGCCTTGAGCAAGAAAAGGTCAGGGACAGCGCCCAGGCCCTGAGTTCAAGCCTCATGACTGACCAAAATACAATGGTGGCAAATTTGTGTTACCATAATTGAAATTTTTTAAATTCAGGAGGGGGTGAGAGAGTGAGTTTCCTTAAAGGTTAGTAAGACCCAGTAGGATAGGAAAGGGTAAAGTGGGAAATTTCAGAGATGCAAACGCACCAATAATCAAAATTAAAGTGGAATACAACGTGTGTGTGTGTGCATGCGCACGCACTCACGCACACGTGCGTGCCAGGCCTGAAACTTGAACTCAGGGCCTGGGTGCTGTCCCTAAACTTCAAGAGGTGCTCTACTACTTGAGTCACAGTTTCACTTCCAGCATTCTTGGTGGCTAACGAGATAAGAGTCTTATAGACTTTCCTACCCAGACTGGCTTTGAACCACCATCCTCAGATCTCAGCCTCCCGAGCAGCTAAGATTACAGGCGTGAGCCACTGGCAGCCGCAGCTGGGCGCAGCGTCTGGCCTGCATCTCCCTGCCCTGGGCGCTGGCCTGGCACAGCGGCCCACACGCAGTTCCTCCCCGGCCTGGCCGGGCCACTCACCCTTCAGCTCATCGGCAGCAAAGAAGGCAGCAAGGCAGTCTTCCAGCGTGACAACGGGACCCCAGAACCAGCTGGGGGTACAGGACACCACAAACCTAGACACGGAAAAGAGATATCAGATGTTGAGCAAGAGTAAGACGTGGGGCGTAGGTGGCTGAGGTCTATTCAGACTTGAACCCCAGAAGTCCCCAACTGGCACCTCTGCCACAGGCGAGTGACATCCCTTCTTCCTGCGCCCTGCCCTCCTCATGGGAGGGGCCAGGCGGTGGTGCCCACCCCGGGTGGGGAGCCCCGAGAGGCGCACCTTCGGATGTACTCCACGATGAAGGCCAGCCAGCCCTGGGGGGCGTAGCTGTCCCCGCAGGCCCCTGGCTTGGCCGGCACATTCTGGTAAATGTGCAGCTTGGCCAGGTCCTCCTTGCCAGGGATGGGCAGCGACAGGTCCTGGAAGGTCTCCACGGTGGTGGACACCTGGGAGAGGGCGGGGGAGGTCAGCCTGACCCCGCTTCTGGCAGCAGGCAGGCAGGCGAGCCTGCTCCCGTGGGCAGCCCCGGGGTGCATCCACCCTGTCCCAGGCGGTGACCAGACGCGCCCCCCCCGCCCCCCGGCACCCACCCGATCGCAGGTGAGACACTGCACGAGGCTGAGGACGGAGCCATCAAAGATGTCAGAGATGACGCTACGGTAGCGCTGCTCCTTCCGCCTCCGGCCGCCCGAGCTCAGCACCTGGGCTGGAGACGCAGGACAGGGCTGGCTCGGGCCCCCACCACAGGCCCAGGCAGGACCTCCGTGGCCAGAACACAGGGTCACGTTCCTGAATTGTGTGAGCGGGTGAGCACCTGACCTGGAATCATGGCATCGTCTACAAAGCGGGCCCCCTCCCCACTCCCACCCGAGGGGGCTGGGGGCCACGGAGCTGATGCACAGCGTGGGCCTGGCAGCGAGCGTGCAAAGCCAGCCACGTGGGCATCATGGCCGCCCCCACTTGCACTCCCAGCCGCCCCTGCCGCCCCCGAACCTTTCTTGAGCACGTACGGCGGCCCTATCCGCACAGGGCTCGCGCGGGCCGGGCTGCTGGACAGCTTCGCGTGGCCCTCCTGGAGGTGGCCAGGGCTGCAGGGCCGAGCTGAGCCGCGGATGGGCGCATCGTTGTCTGGCTCTGGGGGGCACAGAGGGGACACGGCACTGGATCGGGACAGCCACACGGGCCCTGGACCCAGGACCAAAGCCTGAGCCCACCGTGGGCCCCTCCTCGGTCCTGTGCCCCCTTCTAGCTTCATAGAGCATGCTGAACAGAGACATGCTGCCCAGCTGGAACCCAGGGCTCAGACTCTACAGGGGTCCGATGTAGCGAGGCCAGGGAGCCTGACCCGTGCTGTGCCAGACGGGGCCGGTTGCTCCCCTCTCCCAGGGGGCACAGGGCAGGTGCCCACGGGGTGGTCACACTGTCCACAGCCCCGTGGAGCCTGGCTGGCTCATACCTGGGGTGCGGCAGGGGCTGGTGGAGCGCGGTGACGGCGGCTGGGTCTCAGGGGGCCTGTTGTCCAGGGCAGCCATGGCCGTGTCCACGTCCGCATCCTCGTCCACTTGCTCCGAGTTGGTGCGCTGCTGGCCCCAGGAGAACTTGCGGTCCTTCATGCGCTCCTTCTCGGAGATGGCCCGGCCCGCCTCGTCAGCGATCAGCAGCTCCGTCTCGCCCTGCGAGCTGCCGCTGCCGTGCAGGCCCTGCCCGTCACCCTCGCCCCGGTCACTACTCGAGTCACACGACAGGAACTCGTCCTCCGAGGGGCTCCGGTCTCCCTCCCGCTTCTCATCTGTGTCACTCGAGTCCGAGTCCCTGGCCTCCGTGAGCGTGGCCACGGCGGCTACGGCCGGCTCCTTGAGCTCCTCATGCAGCTGGTCCATGAGGCAGCGCAGGAACTCCTGGGTGTCCTGGAACCGGGGGCCACGTCACCCAGCTGACGGCGCTGCCCTCTGCCACCCGCAGCAGGCCCTGGCACCTCTCTGTGCAGAGAGCTGCTTGCCCATCACTGTGACCTTAAGCGGCTCTGCCCTGACCCCCACCGAGGCTGGGAGAGGCCGCAGCTCTGCACAAGCGGAGGCAGAGGGTGCTGCACGTGGCCCCCGTGCTGCTTCGGGTGCGGTGGGGGACGGAAGGGAGGGGAGGCACCGCCCATGCTCACAGGACAGGCAGCTGGGCACTGGGAGAGTGGAGGAGTCCATGCCAAGCGATGCCAGCAGGCCAGCTGGCACCTGTGCTTGGCCCTCTCCATTCCGCCAGTACTACTGGCTATCATACAGTGTGACCATCTGACACGAGGACGAGACCCAGGGCGGGGTCTACCTTCCTGCAGGCCCGGGCACCCTGTGGCAGGCGGGATTCTGAGCGCCTTGTGTCCCACATGCCCGCACACTTGGTGCTGAGGACTTGCAGAAGGTGCCCTGCAACTTGTGAGTTGGTGGATGCCGCCAAAGACAAGGGTGCTGGGGGTGGACCTGGGTTCCCAGTCCAGCGCCAGCCCCCCACCCCCCCCCAGACCCCAACCGGGGAGGCAGCTGGCTGCCAGGATGGATTCCCCAGGTAGGATCAGAGGACCACGACCGGCCGAGCCCTGTGCAAGGCGCACCTCGGGGTCCTTTCACGAGCAGGCCTGAGTCTCCTTCCACAAGTCCCGTGTGCCCCCGGCCAAACTCATGCCCCTGAGAGAGGCCCACAGCTGCGCTGCATTCCACGCTGAGAAATGCGCCCCCCATCCACGCAGCAGAGAAAGGCAGGCTTCTCCTGCGGCCCACGTGGACATCACCAGAGGCCACACAGCCCCATTTCACAGAGTCCCCCACTCCCAACCACTGCTGAGGCTCGTCCCTGCCACTGTGTGCTGTGTGGCCTGAGAGAGGGGGCAGCCTCTCTGAGCTCCACTCCCTCCCTGACATGGGACCATGTGAGGGCCAATCCCTGTGAAAGACATTCACCCCAGAAAGGGGGCGGAGGCAGCAGTGGGCCTCAGGAGGAGCCGGTGCCCTTCAGGGACATGAGCAGAGCGCCCGGTGGCCCTCAGCCTAGGGGGGTGCAGGCAGGCTGAGGAGCAGGAGAGCAAAGGCACCCCCACTGCCCGCCACACTACGCAAGAGCCCCATATCCAGGTGACAAATAGGGTGACCCAGACTCAGGCCCAGCTCTGGCCGTGCCTCAGCTGGGGATCCTCCAGCCATAAAGGGGTCCGGAACCCATTCCTGGGGGCTAGCAGGAAGCTAAGGGACACACATGAGGAGTGCTTTGTTATGGTCTCATTTTATAAAGTAGATTTCAAAGGTGCTATCTGGACTCAAAAATGTATTCATTCTAGGACAGACATTGATGGCATGGGGCTATCACCCCAGAAACTACAAGAAGCCTAAAACAGGTGGGACTGTGGTCCAGATGTGTGCACTGTAGGAAGTGAGCCCCTATCTTAAAAATAACCAGCAAAGTCACACTGGTGATCCTAGCTCTCCTGGCACTGAGATCTGAGGACTTGGTTTGAAGCCAGCCTGGGCAGATAAATCATTAACCTGCAAAAAGTCAGCAGTGAATGTGTGGTCCAAGTAGCAGGGAGCCAGACTTGAACAAAAGCACTAAGGCAGCGTGCCCAGGCTTCAAGTTCAAATTTTAGTACTAACATAAACACAAAATAACCAGCAAAGTTGGGTGGTCATGCCTGCAATTCTAGCTTTTCAGTAGCTGAGATCAGAAGATCATCTTTCAAACCCAGCCTGAGTAGAAAAGTCCATGAAACTCCATTTCCAATTAACCAGCAAAGGCCATGCTGGAGGCATGGCTTAAATGGTAGAGCACCAGCTGTGAGCAGCAAAGGCAAGCAAGGGTACAAGGTCCAAAAGGCCAAAAGCAAAGCTAGAAGCATGGCTCAGCTATAAGCAACTGCCTAGCAAGCATGAGGTCCTGAGTTCAAACCCCAGAACTGCAACAACAACAACAAAAACAACATTTCTTTTTTAAGTGTAGCCAGGCACCAATGGCTCACACCTGTAATCCTACCTACTCAAGAGTCTAAGATCTGAGGACTGAAGTTCAAAACCAGCCTGGGCAGGAAAATCTGTGAGACTCTTATATCTCCAATTAAACAGCAGAAAACTGGAAGCGGAGCTATGGTTCAAAGTGGTAGAGCGCTAGCCTTAAGCAAAAGAGCTCAGAGACAGTGCCCAGGCCTGAGTTCAAGCCCCCGCACACTAGCACACTAAGAACAACAACAAAAAGTAGTTTAATCAAAGCAAAGTTTTTCCCGTGGTTGGGTGCCACTCTGACACACGTAAGGAGCAGAGCCTGGGCGCTCTACATCACTGCCTTTGGAAGTGTGACTGGGACAGTGGCCCAGCTCCCTGGGCTTCTTCTCAGTACCCTCTCTGAAAGTGGGGTTACCCACAACCTAAGGCAGGCGAAGAGCTCTGGCAGTGAGCACCTGCCTGGAGCCCTGCCCAACAACAGGCCTCCTGCTAGGACTGTCCACCCGCCCAGTCCAGCCGCGGCTCAGAGCCAGGCTGTGGGAAGGTGGAGTGTGCCCTGGGCGGTGCCACGGCTTACCTGCTGGGCATAGCCCCGGAACATCGGGTTGACCAACTTGATTCCGTGAGACAGGCTGGTGGGGACCACATAGCTCGGCCTGTGAGGAGCACAAATCCATTCATCTGGGTGGCCAGCCTGGTGCAGGCAGTAGTGGGGTGGTGAATACTGAGGGAGGGGCCAGGGGGCTGTACAGCTGGCGAGGAGGCCAGGCCCTGGCTGTGCAGTGCCACCAGAGCTCCCCACGGGCATCACTTCCCACTAGGCCAGGATATGGCCCACTTAGAACATTTGCTTTCACTATAAATATTTACTGTGGTTTTCTCATTTAAAAGCAATACATGCTCATAACTAAAACAATCTGAAGTTAAAAAACATTACCACAAAGCAACATCATTCATGGTATCTCCCACACAGAATTATACCAAGACTTTGGAGCCGGGGGCCGGTGGCTCACGCCTGTCATCCTAGCTACTAAGGAAGCTGAGATCGGAGGACTGTGGTTCAAAGCCAGCCTGGGCAGGAAAGTCTGTGAGATTCTATTTTTCTTTTGGGGGGGTCCGGTCATGGGGCCTGAACTCTGGGCCTGGGCTGGTCCCTCAGCTCTTCAGCTCAAGGCTAGCGCTCTACCACTTGAGCCACAGCACCACTTCTGGCTTTTTTCTTTTTATGTGGTGCTGAGGAATTGAACCCAGGGCCCTCATGCATGCAAGGCAAGCGCTCTACCACTGAGCCACCTTCCCAGCCCCGTCGGTGAGATTCTTTTTTTTTTTTTTGTCGGTCATGGGGCTTGAACTCTGGGCTTGGGCGCTGTCCCTCAGCTCTTCAGCTCAAGGCGAGCGCTCTACCACTTGAGCTAAGCGCCACTTCTGGTTTTCTGGTGGTTTATTGGAGATAGGAGTCTCACGGTCTCTCCTGCCCGGGCTGGCTTTGAACCGCGATCCTCAGATCTCAGCCTCCTGAGTAGCTAGGATTACAGGCGTGAGCCACCAGCGCCCGGCCCGTCGGTGAGATTCTTATCTCCAATAAACCACCAGAAAACCAGAGTGGCACTGTGTCTCAAGTGGTAGAGCCCTTGCCTTGAGCTGAAGAGCTGAGGGACCGCACCCAGGCCCAGAGTACAAGCCCCACAACCAACAGAAAAAGACTTTTGGAGTTTTCTACAAAAATAAATAAGAGCACAAGTGGCATTGATCAAGATGCACTGTTTATAAACTGGTTTGTTGGACTCATACTCTTTTGTACTTAAACATAAAAATAAATAAAAAGAGCACATATAGATAACTTCCACAGCCTTATTTCTACATCTCTTCCTTCCTTCCTTCCTTCCCTTTCTTCACAGTCATGGGGCTTGAACTCTGTCTTTTGCTTAAGGCTAGCACTCTACCACTTTGAGCCACAGTGCTACTTCCAGTTTTCTGGTGGTTCATTGGAGATATGAGTCTCATGGGGGTTTTTCAGCCTGGGCTGGCTTCAAACCATGACCCTCAGATCCCAGCTTCCTGAGTCATCAGATTACAAGCGTGAACTACCAGCGCCTGGCAAGCCTGACTTCTCACACAATTGGAAAATCATCTCACAATATCTTTTTATCCACTTCTTCATTTAAAGCATGGATATGTGAGTCAGGCACTGGTGCCTCAATCCTGTAATCTAAGCTAGTCAGGAAGCTGAGATCTGAGGCTCATGACTTGAAGCCAGTCAGTAAAGTCCATGAGATTCGTCACCAATTAACAACAACGAAGTCAGAAGTGGAGCTGTGGCTCAAGTGATAGAGCACTAACCTTGAGCAACAAAGCTCAAGGACAGCATCTAGGCCCTGAGTTTAAGGCTCAGGACTGGTGTACACACACACACACACACGTCTATGCACTCATTTTTACACACACACAAACACACACACACACGTCTATGAGCTCATTTTTCCCAACTTTGCTTTACCTGGAGAAAGTTTTTTGTTTTTTGGTTTTTGTTATGGGGCTTGAACTCAGCCTGGGCTCTGTCCCTCAGCTCTTCAGCTCAAAGCAAGTGCTCTACCTCTTGAGCCACAGCACCACTTCCAGTTTTCTGGTGGTTTATAGGAGGTAAGAGTCTCACAGACTTTCCTGCCCAGGCTGGCTTTGAACCACAATCTTCAGCTCTCAGCCTCCTCAGTAGCCAGGATGACAGGCGTGAGCCACTGGTGCCTGACTAGAGATTTGATCTTTGCATTTGTTTCATACTGTGCCAAGGCCCTGGACACACCAGAACCTACCACTTCATTACCAATATCCTGCCACAAATGCGGCTGTGACCGAGGCTTGGCATTGGCATGACCGCCTCTGAGCCTCAGCAGCAAAAGACATCCACAAAGCGGCTGCCGGTGGGGCTTGATGCCAGCTACCTCTGTCTTCCATGTACTGCACATCTATGAACAAGATACTGCAAGCTCTCCGTACCTCAGTTCCCCCATTTGTAAACAGCATAGGCTCACTGACAGCATTACAGGGATCATGAGAGGCTAGACCTATCAGGTGGGACTCAGTCCTGGCCCCACATACCTACCCAAGGTCAGGGACTCACCGCCTCTTGTGCCAGACCTCCGAGACCAGCTTCTGGTAGCTCTTGCACAGAGCTGGCTTCTTGTCTGTGCGTACCAGGCCTCCACACTCCAGGAAGAACTGGGTCAGTGGTGGGCTGGGGAGAGGGATGAGGTCAGAGGAGAGGAGCTGGCGGGGGGGGGGGCAGATGGCCAGTGCTCCTGTATGATGCCCCCGAAGCCTTCATGTCCAGAAATGCCTGCAGCTGACTAAAAGGGCCTCACCAGCCAGAGCTGGACTGTGGCCCCCAAATTCACCCCTTAGGCTGTGACTACTCAGACAAGCATCCATTGGAAGGGACTGGGGTGAAAATGGGTGTTATGGCAGGCTCCAACCCCATCTGCCTGGTGAGCTGAGATGCGAGTGGACACGAGAGGGCGCAGGCTCACGAGGACAGCCCTCTGAGCCCAGAGGGAAGCCCGGCCTGCTGCCACCTGGGTCTTGGACCTCTGCCTTTTAGACTGAGGTGTACGTCGCTTGTGGACTGTGCTACAGTGACCCTGAGATACTTATGCACCCCTCCAGCTTTGTGCTGGGGGCCCAGGGGCCGGGGACGCTGCTGCCTGTCCCGGCTGGGTAGCCAGCCCTTGCTCCTCAGTGCCCAGTGTCTGCAGACGGTGCCAGCCTGCCTGGAGGCGCCCCTGCTCCCTTTTCCTCAGGCTTTTTTTTTTTTTTTTGGCCAGTCCTGAGAGCTTGCACTCAGGGCCAGGGCACTGTCCCTGAGCTTCCTTTCCTCAAGGTTAGCACTTTATCATTTGAGCTACAGCACCACTTCTGACTTTTTCCATTTATGTGGCACTGAGGAATCGAACCCAGGGCTTCATGTATGCTAGGCAAGCACTCTACCACTGAGCCACATGCCAGCCCTCCTCAGGCTATAAGTTACCTTATAGCAGAACTGTAGGCATGCTCAATTGGCAGAGCACTTGCCTAGCATTTGGCAAGTGCCAAGACCCGAGTACCACCACCAAAAAAGAAATTTTGTATTATTTATTTATTTTGGTCGGTCGTGGGGCTTGAACTCTGGGCTTGGGCTCTGTCCCTGTGCTCTTCAACTCAAGGCGAGCACTCTACTGCTTGAGCCACAGTGCCACTTCTAGTTTTCCAGTGGTTTATTGGAGATAAGAGTCTCATGGACTTTCCTGCCTGTGCTGGCTTTGAACCATGATCCTCAGATCTCAGCCTCCTGAGTAGCTAGGATTATAGCCATGAGCCACTGGCGCCCAGCGACTATTTATTTATTTACTTTTGGTTAGTCCTGGGCCTAGATGCTCTTCAGCTCAAGGCTAGTGCTCTACCACTTGAGCCACAGCGCCACTTCCGGCTTTTTCTGCTTATGTGGTACTGAGGAATCGAACCCAGGGCCTCATGCATGCAAGGCAAGCACTCTACCACTGAGCCACCTTCCCAGCCCTGAAAAATATTAATATATTTTTAAAAATTTAAAAAAGCATAAACAAACAGTAATAATTGACGTAGGACAACTCGTCTGCATATTCATGACTTATCCTTCCAGAGGTTTCTAAGCATACAGATCTGTTCCTTTCCTCCTGATTGCTGCTAGGTGGGCGAGCCCGTGTCAGACACAGGAGACAGCTGAGCCTAGTGGAGTTGACACCCCATCCTCCAGGGACAGTATCCCCCCCACAGGCCTGCACTGACAATGTGGGCTTGGGAAACCCCCGTTCCCCACCCCCCGCGTTCTGCACCTGTCCCCGTCCCAGTAAGCACTGTCCTGGGCTTCCACAGGCAACAGTGGACGCAGAGGGACTTCCGGCGTCTGTGGGTGCAGAGCGGAGGTCATGGCCTCACTCCTGCTAGGCAAGTGCTCGGCCACTGCGCCATTCCCAGGGCCAAGATGGGCCTTCAGATGCTTCCTCAACCTGTCCGGTCATCCTCTGGGGGTGCATGCCCATCCACAGAGCCCACCCCTCCAAGGAGGGCACTACCTACCAGTTGGACAAGGCCTGCAGGGCTGCGTTCATGTAGCAGGAGTTGCCGAGGTTCTTCATGCCTGTGAGGCCTGGAAGGACATGCGGGAGGTGAGCGTCCCCGAGCCCCCCTCGCTGAGCGCCGGCTTTCACCACAGCCCAGGGTGTGGCTCTGACGTGTGTCAAGGGCACAGTGCCTGGGTCTGAGTGTGTCAAGTCATGAGCTGCTCAGCGTCTCTGCTCTGCCTTGCCAACTGCCCAAGCCATGCAGCGGAGGACACGGCCTACAGCGGGCCATCTCCCAGGCGGGCAGCTGGCAGCGGGCACAGGACGGCCAGGTCCCTAGGACCTCAGCTTCACCAGCGGGCCCGAGGAGAGAAGCCACAGCTCTATGGGCTGCCCATGGCAGGCCAGAGCAAAGGCCTATAACTTGGGGTGCTAGCTCTAGGCTGACTCAGGAATGCCCTGTCCTGGGGCCATTACCTCGTGGCTTCAGGTCATCATCCTCGGACTCCGACTCTCCTTCGTCTGCCACAGCAATAGGGACGGCTCTCAGAGGGTGGGACAGCGGCGGGGAGTCCTGCATGAAAGACCCAGAGTGAGCAAAGAGGGGGGACAGGAGGGGCTGGGTGGGGCTGAGGCCCCCATGCTCCCTGGGGAAGGATGCCCGCTCCTCAGCCCTCAGAGATCCTGGTGACCCCAGTGAAGCAGAAGATGCTACGGGAACAGGTGGGGCCGGCTGCCTGGTCCCGGGAGCTCTCTGACTTGTGCTCTTTTCTTTATATGAATGAATATTATTGTTTTAATATATTTGGGGGAAAAGAGAAACCATGCAGCTCTCTTTTCCTGAGAGAACCTGGAAACTATATAGATTTGTAACTTTTAACTATCAACACACACAAACAAAAAATGGATATTGTATACATCACCAAAAAAAATTATATATAGGGCTGGGAAGGTGGCTCAGTGATAGAGTGCTTGCCTGGCATGCATGAGGCCCTGGGTTCGATTCCTCAGTACCACATAAACGGAAAAAGCCAGAACTGGCCCTGTGGCTCAAGTGGTAGAGCACTAGCCTTGAGCTGAAGAGCTCAGGGACAGCACCTAGGCCCAGAGTTCAAGACCCACGACCAACACACACACACACACACACACACACACACACACTCACTCAAATTATATACATCTATCATGTTCGCAACTGTATTCAATAAACACCCATCCAGCCACCATTACACTGCCTAACATGGAGACACAGCAATGTGCACAAATACACATACATGAACACACTCACATATACACAGGCACAAATGCACAGGCCTCTGGGCTTCTGCTCCCGCAGGCTGCTCCGACAGCTAGGGCTAAGGTCAGTGTGGAAGCCAGGCTGACACTAAGCCGGCTGCCTGAAGGCCTTCCTAGCACCTGCTGCTCAAGGGTGGTTCCAGGGTGTCCCAGGAGTCCTGCGGATCACTCCAGATCTGGGGCTGCCAGGGGAGCCATCTGTGGCTTGTTTCTGCCTCCCCATAAGGCCTGGAAGGTCCCTGCTCCACCCCAACCCCTGTACTTCACGTGACTACCCACGGTCACCTCACAGCCCTACACTGGCCCTGACACGAGCACCTTAGTCACCGAGAACTCCTAGCCCAGGAGCACACTCTGGGACGTCTCAGCCACACTCCTCCGGAGCCTGGGAGGCACTGCCTCCATGCTGAACAGTGCCACAAGCAACCCAAGCCCCCTTGTGGCTCTGTACCTGCTCGGAGAGCTTGGGTGAGGAGCCGGGAGCAGGCGCGTGGGGAGCGTGGGTCGCCAGCCGCTGCGCCAGGAACACCTCCCGCTCGCAGGCATAGCACCACACCCTGAACGTGGTCAGGTTCACAGTCAGGTGGTGCTTTTTAGCCTGGAGGATGAGACACAAAGTAAGGTCAAGAAAACTCGGGCCTAGCACAGACCCCAAGGGGCTGCATCTGCCCTCCCCCCTCAGGAAGAGCCAGCCAGGCCAGAGGCAGGAAGCCCCAGGGCCAAAACCTGCCAGGCAAGGCTTGTGCCCAGGCCACTCACCTGCACTTGCAACTTTGAGGTAACCGTCCCCACTTCCCACCCCAGCTACAGAGTCTGGACAGGAGGGGGGAGCTGAGAGGTCCCTGCCTGGCCACATGGCCCATGTGCAGCTACCACACCTACCTGAGCATGGAGGGTGCTGTGGTCAGCAAAGGACTCTCCGCAGCCGACATAGGGGCAGGTGACCTGGGGAGAGAGGAGGTGAGGCAGGCTGGGACAAACCCAGAATTCAGCGAGGCCAGGTGCTGGTGGTTCACCTCCGTCACCCTAGCACCTCCCTCTAACCTCGCTGGTTAGAAGCCAACCTGGAGAGACAAATCCAGTCAACCGGCAAAAAGCTGCAAGTGGAAGTGTGGCTCAAGTGATAGTGCCAGCCTCAAATGAAAAAGCCTAGTGAAACGAGGGCCCTGTGTTCAAACCCTAGAACCAGCTCGCACATGTGTGTGCACATGCACGCACACACACACACACACACACAAAGAATACAACATGAATGCAGTGAGTGTTCTAAGCCATCTCTACCCAGGGCGACCCACAAGTGGCTGTCACTCAGGGGAACACAAGTCTGTACACCCAAAGGTCAGTGGGGACAGATGCCATAAACAGCTCCCGAGGCTGCTGCTCTCCGACAAGAAGCCCAAAAGGCCTAGACTTGAACCCCCAGCTGCACCCCACTTCCCAATGGGTGGCCAGTCACTGAGGTCCTAGGCCTCACAGAGACTTTCTAACAGGGGGCCCAGGATGGGCAGGAGGGTTCCTCCTGGAGGCTGCAGGAGCCCAATGACAACCCAAAGTCTCGAGGTGCGCCAGGCTCCAGAGGCTCTCCACCTCCCTGGCCAGCAGCAGCCCCCACTGATGCCTCTCCCTGGGAGCACCAGGTGCTCTAAAAATGACTTTCTGGTGGAGACCGTGAAGCCATTTCCCACACCAGGTTCCCACTGTGTTCTCAGAGGGCCTGGGCCCCCAGGAGGGAGCTCAGCCTCTCCCAGGCGGCTGGGGGCCCCGGGTTGCCTACAAAGGCTAGAGCGAGGTAGTGATTTCTACTGGTGGATTTCCCCTTTAGAGGGAAAATTTTAAATTTACTCTGATTAGAAAACATAATAGATACAAACAGAAAATGTGGAAAATATAAGAGAGTATAGAGAAAAAAACACAAAATCACCTGTAATTCCACCATAAAAAGAAAACCACCATGTTTCCTTTCTTCTTCCACCCCTACGCAGTACAGGGAATTGAACTCAAAGTCTTATGCTTGCTAGCAAGGCACTCTACCACTTGAGCCACACCTTTAGCACTTTTGTGTCCTTTTTTGTCATAGGGCTTGAACTCAGGGCCAGGACACTGTCCCTGAGCTTTTTCACTCAAGGCTAGCACTCTACCACTTTAAAGCCACAGCCCCACTTCCAGTTTTGGGTTGGTTAATTGAAGAAAGCAAGAAAATCTGCTGGCTTTGAACCATGATTGTCAGATCTCAGCCTCCTGAATAGCTAGGATTGATTACAGGCATGAGCCACTAGCACCTGGTACGTGTGTCAGTTATTTATTTATTTTATTTTGGTCAGTTGTGGGGCTTGAACTCTGGGCCTGAGCACTGTCCCTCAGCTCTTCAGCTCAAGGCTAGCGCTCTACCACTTGAGCCACAGCACCACTTCCTGTTTTCTGGTGGTTTATTGAGGATAAGAGTCTCATAGACTTTCCTGCCTGGGCTGGCTTTGAACTGCAGTCCTCAGATCTCAGCCTCCTGAGTAGCTAGGATGACAGGCGTGAGCCACCAGCGCCGGCTGTGCCAGTTATTTTGAGAAGGGGTCTAGCTTTATGCCCAGGCAGGCCAGAACAGTGATCCTCCTACTTGTGTCTCCTCACATAGCCGCAATGGAAAGCATATACCACCATGCCCAGACATTGAAACGGAGTCTCATGAACTGTTTGCCCAGGCTGGTGTTGAGCCACAATCCCCAAGTCTCAACCTCCCAGTAACTGGAGATACAAGCTTGAGCCACTGGGCCTGCCTGGCATGTTTTGACTCATCTATTTTCACTCTTTTCTTGGTTTGTGTTGAGACAGGGTTTTGACATGTAGCCCACCTGATCTGGAACGTACCATTCTCCTGCCTTGGTCTCCCAAGTTGCTGCACCACCTTGCCCAGCTTCTGCTTGCATTGGCAGTAAGAGCAGGACTAGGGGTTTGAACTCAGGGTCTTGCACTTGCTAGCCAAGCAGAATACCACATAACATCTCCAGAGGGGTCCTTCGCTGGTTATATCAAGATAGGGTCTCATTTCCTGACACTACTGAGTCCAGCTTTCTTCCACAGAAACAGAATCTCATAGACTTTTCTGCCCTGGCTGGCCTCGATCAATAGGCCTTTGGTTCTCAGCATTCCCGAGTAGCTAGGATGACAGGCTTAGCTCCTGGCACCCAGGTTGCTTTTACTCTTTTTAACCAGCAACAATAACCACACTACCCAATTTCCTATATGCTGACTAGGATCCCCACATTATGCTAAGCCTGGCACTGCCATCTGTCTTATCCTCATGCGTGGGGCTAGCCCTCAGTGTGAGCCCCCTGCTTTACACGCAGGGAGAGGGAAGCTGGGGAGACACTACCACTAAAAGCCAAGACACCCACATGGACTCAGAAACCCAAGTCTTTTATGGAGATGAGCTCAGTTCTCCTGGTGCCCTCCGCAGCCTGCTTTCTCTGTCACCTCCCATGGCTGCCAGAGCCGCCAGCCTGTGCCTGGGCCCCTGGCACCCCAGCTTCCCGCAGTGCCAAGGCAGACTCCAGTCACAGCCCACACCCTGGGGGCCCGTGAAGATCCATTACCTGCAGACAGGCCCACAGGTTGGGTCCAGCAACACCACACGACTGGCAGGTACCCTGCAGGAACGGAGGTGGCGAGAGAGGGGTGTGAGTGAGGACTGCTGGCTTGGCCCAGCTGCCCTCCTTCACCTTGAAGGCCCCACCTTCAAAACCTCACCTCAGACAGGTCTCCACTATCCTGTCTATCTAAACAGGGATCATGGGCCCTCGAGTGTGAGGGAGTTTATCCTTTGTTTATAAAAAACATTTCAAATGAGCTGGGCACCAGGGGCTCAAGCCTATAATCCTTGTTGCTCAAAAGAGACTAAGAGGATCACAGTTCAAACTGAGCCCAGGCAGAACAAATCTGAGAGACTCTCATCTCTAATTAGCCAGCAAAAAGCTGAAGTAGAGGTGTGGCTCAAGTAGTAGAGGGTAAAGTGGGGCTCAGAGAGGTCGAGCCTGCACAGAGGTCAACAAACCACCCATCACAGGGAGGACCCTCCCCTGGGGCAGCACATGTCTGGGTTTTACACACTCCTGACCTTGCACGTGAACCTCAACCCCAGCAAACAGCAGCTGTTTTTACTTTTTTATTTTTCAGTGTATTGACATTCACCTTCTCAATCCCCCCCCTTTCCCCCTCCCCCCTCCCCAGTCATGGAGCTTGAACTGTGGGCCTGGGCAGTATCCCTGAGCTCTTCAGCACAAGACTAGTGTTCTACCACTTGAGCCACAGCGCCACTTCCGTTTCTGGTGGTTAATTGAAGAGTTTCTCAGACTTTCTGCCTTAGCTGGCTTTGAACCATGATCCTCAGATCTCAGCCTCCTGAGTAGCTAGGATTAAAGGTGTGAGCCCAGCACCCTGCATTCATATTCTTTTTTTTTTTAGGTACCGGAGTTTTGAACTCAGGGCCTTGGACTGCATATGTAGGTGATGAGCTCATACCATTTCTTTTTTCTCTTTTGGTCAGTCATGGGGACTTGAACTCAGGACCATAGTCCTGTCTCTGAGCTTTACTGCTCAAGACTAGTGCTCTACCACTTTGAGCCACAGCTTCACTTTTAGTTTTCTGGTGGTTAATTGGAGATAAGAGTTTCATGGACTTTCCTGCCTCGGATGTCTTGGAACCATCATCCTTAGACCTCAGCCTCTGGAATAGCCAGGATTACAGGTGTGAGCCGTCAGTGCCCAGCCCACTGCCTTTTTGAACCATGTGACAGTGCTACCTTTTAAATTTTTAATTACCTAATTTTTCTTTTTTGTGCCAGTCTTGGGGCTTGAACTCAGGGCCTGGGTGCTGTCCCTGAGTTTTTGTACTTAAGGCCAGCATTCTACCACTTTGAGATACAGCACCATTTTGGCTTTTTGGCAGTCAACTGGAGATAAAAGTCTCATGAACTTTCCTGCCCAGGCTGGCTTTGAACTGTGATCCTCAGATCTCGGCCTCCTGAGTAGCTAGGATGACAGGTGTGAGCCACCGATGACTGGTGCTGATTGTATTTTTATGGTACTGGGGAATAGAACCCAGGGACCTGAACATGCTCAACCACTGAGTCACAACCAGCTTGTGTTAGCACAGGGTCAGCATATCCTCACCCCAACTCCCACTTCAGGCCTCCTGGGAGAACATCCGTGTAGGCCTAGGGGTGGCTCAGGGGTATCATGTCTACTTGCATGACAAGGCCTGGTTCTATCCCCAGCAAAACAAAGAAAAACAAAACTGTCCCCGGACACCTAGTCCTGCTGTGGGAAGCGGTACAGCTGGGCTGGACAGCACACAAGGCTCTCACTATAATGAATGATGGCGGGACCCAGCCCTGGAGAGAAGCTCCCACAGACATCCGGCAGTACCGCTGACTGGAGGGCTGAGCAGAGACGGGTGGAGACTGCTTCAGGAACATCCACACCCCAGGAACATGGACACAGCAGCCCCGCCCCTAAGGTCTGCCCTTTACCTGGGATTTCAGCAGCAGGTCTTCCTTGGTCACCTCCCCGATGGAGTCCAGGTGCGGGCAGAGGTCCCTGGTGTCCCCCATGCTGGCGTGGGCTCACCTGTGAGAACGCACAGCAGTGCTGGGTCACTGTGGCCCCTGAGAGGGGGAGCAGGACAGATCACAGGTTAAGTCATGCCGGTAGGATTCTGGCTGGCATATTCTAGCTGTGATTTAGGGAGGCTACTCTGAGCCTCCTCTCCTTGTGTGAGATGACGGTGGCTGCCCCGGTGGGGTGCTCTGAGAATTCACGGGGAGAGAGTACATCAAAGTCTGGCCCAGAGCCCAACAGAGCACACCCCCGGGCAGTACTGGGTTTGGTGCCTGATACTGCTGGTGGGCAGAAGCACAGGCCTGGCTGCACTCGGAGCGGCACCCACGGAATGGAAGCCAGGTCAAGGAGACCAGTCTACCAAGGGGGCTGAGGACAGGCTGGGCTTCCAAAAGGCCAGGGGTAGGTCAACTCCTGCTTTCTCTGAGCAGGCAAGCTGTCTTCTCAAGAGCCGAAGAGAGGCCAGGGAAAACAGGGTGTCAGGAACACTAACCCAGGAAATGGCTGGAAGGGCATTTGCCAAAACATTGGCAGCAGCGTATCTGGATGATAGATTTCAAGAGAGGGAAAAACCCAGCTTTGCAAGGGCTGCCAGCCCGGAATAAAACCAACCCGGATAGTTTAGGAAAGTACCTGTGTGGAGCAGGGGAAGTCATGTGACATAGCAGCAATCGCCCCTCCCCAGGCCTTCTCCTTAAACCAGAAAAGGGTTGGGGGAGATTTGGCTTATAGAGAATAAAGGCTTCATGGGAGGGAGCCCGGAGGGCTGGCAAGTCTCCAGCTGAGAATGGCAGTGGTTCCATGGCTCTCTATAAGACAATACACAGAGCAGCATGGCGCCTTGCTCACAGCCACCACAGCCCAGGGAGTGCAAGACCTCAGCCAGCGCTATCCTGCAGACATATCCACGAAGGACACATCCACAAAGACTGAATGCTGGAAGGGCACCCAGGGTGCTTTGCAGTTCTTTATATTGTTTTGTAAATTTCTAAGAAAGTGTGATTTCAAAATAAACAACAACAACAAACACCCAGTTGCTGGTAGCTGACACCTGTAATCCTAGCTGCTCTGGAGAGTTCCATCCCAATTGAAAGCTAGCTTAGGCAAGAGAGTCTGTGAGACTCTTTTTAGCAGGTTGTGGTCTTGAACTCTGGGCCTGGGCGCTGTCCCTCAGCGCTTCAGCTCAAGGCTAGAGCTCTACCGCTTGAGCCACAGCGCCACTTCCAGAACTTTATGTTTATGTGGTGCTAAGGAATCGAACCCAGGCCCTTATGCATGTGAGGCAAGCGCTCTACCACTGAGCCACATTCCCAGCCCCCAGTGAGACTCTTATCTCCAAAAGTGGAGCTGTGGCTCAAGTGGTTGAACTAGCCCTGCGCCTAAAAGCTCAAGGACAGAACTCAGGCCCAGATTTCAAACCCCCAGAGATCGGCACCAAAACAAAACAAAAACCCACTAAGAAACAAATGCTTCAGCTACCTGATAATATTTCAGTTCAGAATCCAAAAGCTGATTCTAGTTCCAGACTACTGCCAAGAGGGGTTTAAATACATTAAAGATGTCAGTGGAGCCAGAAGTGGCTTCATCTAATCCTGGAGACAGACCCTAGGGGCCTCCTGCAGTCCCCTCCCCACCTCCAGGGGCCATCCAGGGGTCGCCTGGCCCAGACACCCAGCTGCCACAGGAGTTGCTGCACGGGTGGATGAGATGCCAGCTACCGGGCTCCAAGCTGCCCTGCACAGCTCTATTAAAGGCCCTCCCAGCATTCCTTGAGTAGCTGTGAGCTCCCCCATCTCACAAACAAATCGCTCCTTCTTGCCTGGGTCTCACAGATGGACATCTTAAAGCTAAAAGCTGAGACCAGGCTGGCAGGCTGCTCCGGGCCACACCCCCTTGCTTACTCCATGGTTTATGGAGAAAATGGAAGTGGGCAAAAAAGTAGGCAGAGCTCTGCCACACCCTACTATGTATCTCACCTCAGCACTTAATCTCCCACCTCCCACTCCCCTTCTCCTGCATGCAGCAAATGCCAGGAACACATGAAGCCACACTTCACCCACACGTGTATTTCTAAGAGATAAAGCCTTGGCAGAAAAATAGCTCATCACCGTAATTCTACTATGTTAGCTACACAGGAGAGCCCAGCATCCTCCAACAGGAAGTGGCTCCCCGAGGGAAGGAGGTGGAACTTACCTGGTGAGAGAGTGGATCGGGGAGGGGCCAGCTCACATTCTCTGCTGACCTCGGTGGGGCAGGCTGCGAGGGTGGTCTGCCGCTATCAGAGCCTCTGGTAAGAAACCTGGGGGAGGGGAGAAGGAGAGGGGGGAACCAGCACAATCTTACACTTCTGGAATTTGAAAATGCTCTAAAAATACCCCAGAACTCCTCCTAGAAGTAAAAGTGCATTTTTAGATATGTGGGATGACCACAGGCTAAACACTGCTTAGGAACACACCACATCCCCCCACAGCTAGGGGAGGCTTGGCAGAGCTGACACAGAGGGCCAGCACCCAGGCGGGTACGGAGGTGGGTGCTGTGGCAGCCATTACCTTTGTGGTCCCCCAGAGAGGGGACTCTCAAAGGTCTTCTTCCAGAGAGGGCCCCGGGCCTGCTCATCTCCTGCCTCCTCAGGCTGCCACAGCCAGTTGCTCACACTCTATAGACAGGAAGGCCAGGCCCCTTCCACATGGGCCTGGGGACCCCTCTGATCATCCTGCAAGCCTCTCCAGGACACAGTGCTACCCCGAATCCCCGAGCCCCAAGTCAGCACAACCCTAGGCTGTAGCACAATCAGGTTCATCCACGTGTCCCCTGCCCCCCTTCCCTGGCACACCACAGTCCCTCAGCTGTGGATAGTTCAAGAGGGAGGGGCAGTTAGAAGGTCACACTTAAAATAGTCCATGACAATGACAGGAGTCAAGGTTCTAAATTCCAAACCTCACTAAGCCTAGCAAGTTGGTTTTCTAAGACTTCTGCCAAGGCCAAGTACCTTGGGCTGGTTTTGCCAACCCTATTATAAGCAGGGCATGTTTTCCTTTTTATAGAACCAATCTATCTATCTGTCTGTCTGTCTATCTATCTGGTACTAGGGCTTAAATTTGGCCAGGGCACTGTCCCTCAGCTTTTTGTTCAAGGCTGGTGCTCTTACCATTTGAGCCACAGCTCCACTTCTGGCTTTTTATTGGGTAGCTGTCCAAGTAGCTGATAAAGGCCAGTGGCCAAGAACCCTAGGAAACAGGCTAGGCAGAAGGCTATCCTGGGGGACACAGGGTCCCCTATTCCAACTCCAGCACATGCCTATAGTCACAGCTCTGGGAAGGCTAGGGGGGCAGGTTCACTAGAGCTCAGAATTCACAACCACCCTCGGCCATAGAGCAAGACCCTGATGAAAAGTAAATAAATGAAGTAAATGGAAACCTACAAGTCTTAGGAATGACTAAGCTTAAACTTGTAGTATACACAGTGGAAACCAAGGACAGGCATCTAGATGCCTTGGCATCTAGGAGTTGAAATCAGACCCTCTTTGAGTCAGGCTGTGTGATCTACACGCTGCCTGTCCTTGTAGTCTTAGAATGTAAAGAAATTTAGGAATCCTCCCTCGCCACCCCCACGTTAACAAGCACTCTACCACTGAGCTAGGTCCCCAGGCTCCTCATCTTCTTAAGATGGGGCTCCATTCCATAAAATTCCAGTGGTCTGTGGCCCAAACCCACTTTTCACAGTCACTGACAATGAAATCATCCTTCCCCAAAGGAAAGCACTGGCTGTTTCTGTCTACATAATAAATGAAGACAGGCTTTCCTGAACTTTCTGCGTATTGATCTCTGGCTCATGGCTGCAGCCAAAGAGAACTGTCACTTTTCTGTCTTCAAATATTGGTTGTCAACTCTCATATTTCTCCAGCTGTTCTTCCAGGCTGCTGACTTGCTAACTTGAAAAGTAGAGAAAATCCTAGCTACTTAGGAGGCTGAGGTCTGAGAACAGCAGTTCAAAACTAGCCTGGGCAGGAAAGTCCAGGAGACTCCTCTCTCCAATTAACCAGCAAAAAGCCAGAAGTGGAGCTGTGGTTCAAATGGCAGAACACTAGCCTGGAGCAAAAACACCTCAGGGACAGCACCTAGGCCCAGGACCCCTACCCTCCACCACGCACGAGCACACATGCACACATACACACCCAAAGTTCCAGCATAAATTGCCTAAAATCTCCAAACAGCTGAAGGTCCGAGGTTCATGCCAAAGATCACAGAGCTACTAGATGGCAAAGCAGGGACTCCACGGCAGGAAAGGCTGCCAGCCAGATGCACTTGGCAAGCTGGCAGAACAGGGACTTGGGCCCAGGGCCTTTAAGTTGATACACTGCACTGTCTGCGACAGCACCAAGTAGATCACAAACTAGAATACACTAACTTAAACTTGCAACTTGCCACTCCTTCCCCAACCAACTCCCTGAAGTCTACTTTTTTTTTTCCAAAGCACTTGTCACCTTCAAACTTTAAGTTATTATAATATAAGCACTAGAATAGGGAACACTTACATTAGAATAGGAATTTTAAACACAGGGCCTAACTTACATAGTAAATGCCAGAAAACATCTCTCAAAGAAGACATTAGTCCAAAGAGCATTTATTGAGTGCTTGCTGTGAGTGAGCAGAGAACTGCATCACTTTTGCTGGATTCCAAATCCATGCAGATTTTTTTTCCTTTTTGTCAGTCATGGTGCTTGAACTCAGGGGCCTAAGGGTTGTCCCTGAGCTCTTTTTTTTTGTTTTTTTCCCAGTCCTGGGGCTTGAACTCTGGGCCTGGGCACAGTCCCTGAGCAACTTTTTGCTCAAGGCTAGCACTCTGTCACTTTGAGCCACCACTCTACTTCTGGTTTTCTGGAGGTTAATTGGAGATAAGAGTCTCATGGACTTTCCTGCCTGGGCTGGCTTTGAATTGGAATCCTCAGATCTCAGCCTCCTGAGTAGCTGGGATTACAGGCGTGAACCACCAACACCTGGCTTTATCCAGATTTTGATAATAGCTTCTAGAGCCCTGCAACATGCCACTGCTGCACTTAGTTCTCAGAGGAGCTAACAAGCCAACCCAGCACCAACCAAACTCTCAAACAACATTAAAATGTAAGATGCATCTTTGAACTGAGCACAACCTAAATTTCTTAAAGGTTCCTTCGGATAATCGGTCCAGCAAGATGGGAGTAGGAACTAGTCCTTGGCCCAGCCAGCTATTGCCAAGTCCCAGCTGGCACTTTTTCAATATCACCTTTGCTAAACAAGACTCCACTTGATCTGTCATAGCACAGGATGTGGGCGTCATAGGGCACTCTGGCTTTGTGGGGAGGGGCGGAAAAAGTAAGTATATTTATACCAGGTATGTCTTTCTGGAGATCTCACATGAGAGTAATCTAGAATACCCTCGGCCCTCTGACCTTTTTCTTAAACACGGCATAGTACCACCAAGTGGGAGTGTTGCTACTCTGGCAAATTCAAAGCCACTTTGGAGAGACTGATAGCTGTGGACACAAGTCCTTGGGACTGTGCAAAAATTCTCACGGAGCCTCTCCTCTGTGCAGGGGCACATGGAGTCCAGCAAACGTCATGTTTACTCGGTGGCTGAAACAATCTGCAGAGGACAAGACTTTGACACTGCATATCTTGATTTTTTCTTGTGGTGGGGGGGAGTCAGTAGGGGAGCATGAACTCAGGGCTACTGCTCTCAGTTGACAGTTTTGCTCAAGGTTGATGCTCTATCACTTGAATCACACCTCTACTTCTGTATCTAGCTTTCTGACCAAGGACAAAAGACAGTTGCAGAAAGTCCCACTATCTGTATCTATATCTGTCCAAGAAAGAGGTGCGCTCATGCCTGTAATTCCTAGCTTCTCAGGAGGCTGAGGTCTCAAGATCAAAGCCAGCCCAGGTTCTCCCCCCCACCCACAAAATCGGCGTGACTCTTTATCTTCAATTAACTACCAGAAAAAAAAAAATAAAGGAAAAAGAACAAACAGACACAAAAAAGCAAGTCACTCCAGAAACGCTGCCCAGCTTTAGAATAGTCTTCCAGAAAATTCTCCATCTGCCCCTCCCCCACCGGCAAGCTGTAAGAACAGCGGCGCTGGCTGCCCGAAGCCAGTGTACCAGTGACTTGCTACAGACCTGTCACCGACCCCTGCTCCACCTCACAGCTGGGTAACCTGGGGTACACACTGCTTTTGCGAGCCTCAGTAAGCCTCATCTGCAAAAATGAGAATCAATCGAATCTACATCATAGGATTGCTGGGAGAATTCACGGAGAATAAAGCTTAGAATAAAGCAATACTTTTTGTTTTTGGACAGCGTCCCCCTCTGCCCCCCATAGAGAAAAAGAATCTATTGCTTCAGGGATTGCTAAAAGTCCCCAGGGCCACTGTTGATGCACGTATTCAGTTTCCTAGGGGTTTGCTGAGAGCCGATTTCCAAGTACATCGCATCCTGGCAACATTTTAGGGGTGGAAGGTGCCCAGGACCGGGTGACATGTCGTTCTTAGCAAAAGGGAAGGAAACAAGGCCCGAGGAGGGGCTGGGAGGCGGCCGGCCGGCAGCCCGATGGGAGCCACGGCTCTCAATCCCAGCCAGGCGCCCTCGGTCCCGGGCAGAAGTGGCGGAGGCCGCCTAGCCGGGCCAGGGCCGCGCGGGCTGAGATTCACCCCGGCTGAGAAGCGATCGTCTTTTGTCCCCTCATTAAAGAAAATGCCCGTCAGGGCCCCAGAGGCTACGCTCACGCCTCCGGCGCGCGTCGGGCCCGGCAGCGGTGAGGGCCGCCGGCCCCGTGCGTGAGCCGCCCAGGGTCTGGAAGCGGGGCGCTGAGCCCCGAAGGCCTCCGCCCCCGGACGCCACCCGCGCAGAGCAGGGCGGCCCGGACTCCGCTCACCTGGCCGAGGCCTTCGGCGCACCTGGCCGAGTCAGGCCTCAGCAGCCTGCGGCGGGACGGAGCCGTCCCCGCTAGGAGAGGCCTGGGTCCCCTAAAACAGCCGGCGGCGGCCCGGAACTCACCTGCCGTCGCA